AAAAAAAAAAAATTAGCCAGGCAGGGTGGCACACGTCTGTAGTCCCAGCTACTTGGGAGGCTGAGGCAGGAGAATTGCTTGAGCCTGGGAGGCAGAGGTTGCGGTGAGCCAAGATGGCACTACCGCACTCCAGCCTGGGTGACAGAGCAAGACTCCATCTCAAAAAATAAAAATATTACAGTTCAGTAATGTTAAGTTCATGCACACTCTGTGCAGCCCATCTCCAGAACTGCTGTCATCTTGCAAAACTGAAGCTCCCTGCCCATTAAACAGCTCCCCAGTTCCCTCTCTGTCCCTGCCTGGACATAGGGATATAGGTGTTTTGTCCAGGGGTGGAGGTGGGATTTGAACCCAGGCGGAATGTAGTTTGAGAGCAAAATAATAAAGTAAGGAAAGACCAAACCTTGCGTCTGGGAGGACTGTAAGAAATCGGCAACGTGGGGTCTGGAAAAGCTTTGGCCTACCCCGGCTCAAGCATCCGCCTCTATTTGCCGTCTACAGCCTCGGCCACCTTCGAGGACTTCCAGATCCGCCCGCACGCCCTCACGGTGCACTCCTACCGGGCGCCTGCCTTCTGTGATCACTGCGGGGAGATGCTCTTCGGCCTAGTGCGCCAGGGCCTCAAGTGCGATGGTGAGAGCAAAGGGGTTAGGGGCGGGGTCGGGGGTGGGGTTCAGCTCCGGGGGCGGAGCCTAATGGTCTGGGCCTGCGGACCCCAGGGGAGGAAGGGCCGGACTCAGAGATGGGGCACAGCCTAGGAAGTAATAATGGGAAAAAGTAAGGGCCCAGAAGCAGAGCTTGGGGAAGAAGGGGTAGGGCTCGGCCGGGGCTCGGATCTGGGGGCGGAGCCTAGGAGGTGGAGCTGGGAGGGACAAGTAGGGACCTAAGAACTGAGTCTTTGTGAGTAGAAGAGTGGCTGGGGAAGAGGGTGGGGCCTGTATCAGTTAGGGACCAAGCGGAGAAACAGATCCTGTAGGAGATATATATTAAGATATTTGTATGTGGCCGGGCGCGGTGGCTCACGCCTATAAACCTAGCACTTTGGGAGGCCGAGGAGGGTGGATCACGAGGTCAAGAGATCGAGACCATCCTGGTCAACATGGTGAAAACCCGTCTCTACTAAAAATACAAAAATTAGCTGGGCATGGTGGCGCGCGCCTGTAGTCCCAGCTACTCGGGAGGCTGAGGCAGGAGAATTGCTTGAACCCGGAAGGCAGAGGTTGCGGTGAGCCGAGATCGAGCCATTGCACTCCAGCCTGGGTAACGAGCGAAACTCTGTCTCAAAAAAAAAAAAAAAGATATTTGTATGCAAGGAATCAGCTTACAGGATTGTGTGGGCTGGTTAGGCAAGTCAGATCTGGCCAGGCACAGTGGGGCAGGCCTGTAATCCCAGCACTTTGGGAGGCCAAGGTGGGTGGATCCCTGGAGACCAGGAGTTCAAGACCAGCCTGGGCAACATAACAAGACTCCGCCTGTACAAAAAATAATTAGCCATGCATGGTAACACACACCTGGGGTCCCAGCTACTCAGGAGGCTGAGGTGGGAGGATCACTTAAGCCTGGGAGGCTGAGGCTGCAGTGAGCCCTGATTGCACCACAGCACACCAGCCTGGGTGACAGAGCGAGACCCTGGTTCAAAAAAAAAGAAAAATCCATTGTATCAGGAAGGGAGAGTGGGAACTCTCAGGCACAAGCTGAAGCTGATGTCCACAGGTGGAATTTCTTCATCCGAGAAGTCTCTGATCTGCTTTTTAAAACATTCAGCTGATTGAATCAGGCCCACCTAGAACAAGAAGGATAATCCCTCCCACTTACAGCCAACTGATTATGGATTTTAATCACATCTAGAAAGAACCTCCACAGCGCCTTCCCTTTCTAGTTCTCCCCAGAGTCGGGAGAAGCTGGGTTGAGAGGGTGAAGAGAAAAGCAAACCTTCATGGCAACTTCTAGATTAGTGTCTGAATAACTGCGGATCTTGCCTAGCCAAGCTGACACGTAAACGTGACCACCAGCGTCCACCCCTCATTAACCTGGCACCTGTCTGTCAGGACTGCCGTAACAAAATACCACCGGCTGTGTGGCTTAAATGACAGATGTTTACTTCTCACCATTCTGGAGGCTAGAAAGACCAAGATCCAGATTCTGGCAGGGTTCTGTTTCTGGTGTAGCCTGCTTTCCGGCCTTAAATAGGGCCAGTATTTCACTGTGCATTCACATGGGACACAGAGGGAGAGAGAGAGCCCTGGTATCTCTTCCCTTTATAAGGAAGGCTGGGCACAGTGGCTCATGCCTGTAATCCCAGCACTTTGGGAGGATGCGGTGGGCGGATTGCTTGAATCCAGAGTCTGAGACCAGCATGGGTAACATGGTGAAACCCTGGCTCTAAAAAATACAACAAATTGGCCAGGCATGGTAGGGCATACCTCTAGTCCTAGCTACTCAAGAGGCTGAGGTGGGGGGACCACCTGGGCCCGGGAGGTTGAGGCTGCAGTGAGCCGTGATCGTGCCACTGCACTCCAGCCTGGGTGAGGGAACACGATTCTGTCTCAAAAAAAAAAAAAAGATCACCAGTCCCATTGGATTACAGCCACATTCTTTCGGCTTCAATTAACCTTAATTACCTCCATAAAGGCACTATCTCCAAATATAGGGGGAGACACAGACATTTTAGTCCATAACAGCACCCACACATGTCTCCTTAAATCATAGATTAAAAACATACAATTTTTTTTTTTTTTTTTTTTTTGAGACAGCATCTTACTCTGTTGCCCAGGCTGGAGTGCATGGTGGGATCTTGGCACACGGCAACCTCCACTTCCCAGGCTCAAGCGATTCTCTGCTTTAGCCTCCCGCGTAGCTGGGATTATAGGCGCGTGCCACTACCACCTGGCTGATTTTTGTATTTCTAGTAGAGATGGAGTTTCACCACATTGGCCAGGCTGGTCTTGAACTCCTGACCTCAAATGATCCACCCGCCTCAGCCTCCCACAGTGCTGGGATTACACAGTGTGAGCCACTGTGCCCGGCCAAAACATACAATTCTTTAAGCCAAGGTGTCTCAAGGTTCAGCCCAAGTGTCAAGATCTATGGGTCCTCTGTCCCTCTTACTCATGCTTCTGAGTGAGAATGTTGAAACTGGGGCTCTGCCTACAGATGAAGGCCATGTACCTGCATTGGCTATGAGGATACACGACAGGTGAGGACCATCCATTCCTTCATGAGACCCTGTGCCTCCATTTTTATTTTTTTGTGAGACAGTCTCACTCTGTCACACAGGCTGGAGTGCAGTGGCGTGATCTTGACTCACTGCAGCCTCCGCCTCCCGGTTCAAGCAATTCTTCTGCCTCATCCTCCCAAATAGCTGAGATTACAGGTGCGTGCCACCACTCCTGGCTAATTTTTGTATTTTTATGTCTTTTTGTTTGTTTGTTTGAGATGGAGTCTCACTCTGTCACCCAGGCTGGAGTGCAGTGGCACGATCTCAGCTCACTGCAACCTCTGCCTCCCGGGTTCAAGCGATTCTCCTTCCTCAGCTTCCTGAGTAGCTGGGATTATAGGCATGTGCCACCACGCCTGGCTAATTTTTTTGTATTTCAAGTAGAGACGGGGTTTCACCTTGTTGGTCAGGCTGGACTCAAATTCCTGACCTTGTGATCCACCTGCCTCAGCCTCCCAAAGTGCTGGGATTACAGGCATGAGCCACCCTGTCTGGCTAATTTTTGTATTTTTAGTAGAGACAGCGTTTCACCTTATTGGCCAGGCTGGTCTCAAACTCCTGTCCTCAAGTAATCCACCCGCCTCAGCATTCCCAAGTACTGGGATTACAGGCATAAACCACTGCGCCGGGCCCCATGCACCTCCATTTTTATACAATGTGCCCTGCCATTAGAGGCATATTCTCTGATGTTCCATCGGGTATTAGGTCTGAGGTAGCATCTGCAGCTCCATGGCTGCCACGCTTGTACAGAAATCCAGATTCTGGGCCGGGTGCGGTGGCTCACACCTATAATCCCAGCACGTTGGGAGGCTAAGGCAGACAGATCATAAGGTCAGGAGTTCGAGTCCAGCCTGGCCAACAGGATGAAACCCCATCTCTACTAAAAATACAAAACTTAGCTGGGCATGTTGGCGGGCACCTGTAATCCCAGCTACTCGGGAGGCTGAGGCAGGAAAATCATTTGAACCTGGGAGGCGGAGGTTACAGTGAGCAGAGATTGTGCCATTGCATTCCAGCCTGGGCAACAGGGCAAAACTCCATCTCAAAAAAAAGAAAGAAAAAAGAAATCCAGATTCTCCAGTATCCTGTGTTTCAGAGCATCATGCAGTCCTAAGTGTACCTGTGTTATTTAAGGACTCCAGGCCTGGAGAAACTGATTCAGTGCATTCAAACTCTTAAAAATATTGCCATCGTCCACACACCATATCCACCTCTCATGGTCTCAGCGTATCCAGCCTGTCATGCTACAGCCCTGGTGTCATCCAGTCCTAATGGGTTCTCAGCATAGACTTCATTGGCCGCATCACAGATGATGGTCCCAGTTCCTGTGGTGTCAAGAGAAGCCCAAATCACTACATTCCGACGGGAGGTTAACTCTACCCTGAGACTCATTCCGGGAGTTACAGATTCTGAAATTCTGGGAAGCCTATGAGCGATTCAAGGCCAAAACTGGGAAATGGTTCCTGTATGCGAAGACCATTTGCCCTGCGGAAGCTCTTCTTGCAGGGACATGGTTCTCCAAGCTTGCCTTCATGATGACAGCCTGTGGCCAAGACAGTGCCTGCAATGAAGTACGGAGCTGGAAAGCCCAGAGCAGGCGGGTCCCGGAAGGGCGTGCAAAGGTTGGAGGCACACCCTTCCCTCCAGAATGGAAAGCGATCCTAGAATCGTCTGGAATCACTGGAGATGTGTTAGAGCATGCGTCCAGTGAGAAACGATGACTTGAGCTGATTTCTCCATGGATGGGGATTTTAAAAGATAAAACAGGCAGGCACAGTGGCTCACACCTGTAATGCCAACACTTTGGGAGGCTGAGGTGGGAGGATCGCTTGAGCCCAGGACTTCAAGACCAGCCTGGGCAACACAGCGAGACCCCATCTCTACCAAAAACAAATCAATTATCCGGGCATGGTGGCACTCACCTGTGGTTCCAGCTACTCAGAAGGCTGAGGCAGAAGGATTGCTTGAGCCTGGGAGTTGAAGGCTGCAGTGAGCTATGATTGTGCCATTGTGCTCCAGCCTGGGGTACAGGGAGATCCTGTCTCTACAAAATAAAATAAAGATAATAACAAGTCATACTTCTGCCTAGTATGGTACAATGAACCGGAGTACAACTGAAAACTCTTTTTTTTGTTTTTTGATTTTTTTGTTTGTTTTGAGACAGAGTCTCGCTCTGTCGCCCAGCAGGAATGTGGTGGTGCCATCTCGGCTCACTGCAAGCTTTGCCTCCCAGGTTCAAATGATTCTCCTGGCTCAGCCTCCTGAGTGGCTGGCATTACAGGTATGTGCCACCTCACCCAGCTAAGTTTTGCATTTTTAGTAGAGATGGGGTTTTGCTATGTTAGCTAGCCTGGTCTTGAACTCCTGACCTCAAGTGAACCTCCCACCTTGGCCTCTGAAAGTGCTGGGATTACAGGTGTGAGCCACCATGTGTGACACTACTAAGATTTAATCACACTACTTAGGGGTCTCCTGGATTCCAGGTCTACAGAAAAGAGAAAGTGGGGTGTGTGTGTGGGGGGGAGGTGAGCAGACCTGGAGGGGACGATGGTGACCTTAGGGTTGGGGGTGAGGAGAGGATTTTCTCTTGGAAAGTTGGGGCTGAGGAAAGAGGAGAACCAGAGGGGCCTCAGAAAAAGGAAGGTCAGGGCTAGAAGAGGGAACAGGTGTCTCCAGGGAGATGTTCAGGAGTTTTGGGGAGGATGGGAAGGAGGTGCTTACCATAGAGGATTGGAGCTGGGTCACAGCTTTGGAGGGGACTTTTGAGGCGTCCCTTGCTGCAGTGGGAAAAGGTGGGGTACAAGGCGTGTTCAGGGACTGGGGGACAGATGGGGTGATGGCGGGGCTACAAGTGAGAACTAGGGGTGGAGCTTTGGCGGGGACCTTTGAGGTGTCCCTTGTTGGAGTGGGCAAACGTGGGGTGTGGGGCGTGTTCAGAGGCCGAGTGACATATGGGGTGATGGTGGGGGCTACAAGTTGGAACTTGGGGCGGAGCTCTAAGGAGGGGTGGGCCTGGGGGGAGGGGGCTGGTGGACTTATGGGTAGTAGTGCCTTTTGGAGGAGATTGTGCTGGGGGGTGAGGGGACAGGACCAGGTGGGAGGTTGTGTGGAGAGGGCAGAGCTTCTCAAGAAGGGACCTAGGAGGGGCAGACAAGTCCCCTACTCTCTGGCGCCCCCTACAGGCTGCGGGCTGAACTACCACAAGCGCTGCGCCTTCAGCATCCCGAACAACTGCAGCGGGGCCCGCAAACGGCGCCTGTCATCCACGTCTCTGGCCAGTGGTCACTCAGTGCGCCTAGGCACCTCCGAGTCCCTGCCCTGCACGGCTGATGAGCTGGTGAGGGGATGGGGGATGAGACGGCTTGGTGGCTTGGGGGGAGGTGACGGGGCCCAGACCTGGGGGCAATATTCTGACGTGTCCTTTCCATTCTTGCGGATGACAGAGCCGCAGCACCACCGAACTCTTGCCTCGCCGCCCCCCGTCATCCTCCTCCTCCTCTTCTGCCTCATCCTACACGGGCCGCCCTATTGAGCTGGACAAGATGCTGCTCTCCAAGGTCAAGGTGCCACATACCTTCCTCATCCACAGCTACACACGGCCCACCGTTTGCCAGGCTTGCAAGAAACTCCTCAAGGGCCTCTTCCGGCAGGGCCTGCAATGCAAAGGTTAGCCTGCCGGTCCGGGAGGACAGACAGGGTCAGAGCCTTCCCACAGCCCCAACCTGGGCTTGTGGCGGAGGCTGTACAGGTAGCAGTGCCTTTTGGAGGAGATTGTGCTGGGTGTAGGGGAACAGGACCAGGTGGGAGATGGGGCAGAGAGAGCAGAGTTTCTTAAGAAGGGACCAGGTCCCTTCTTGAGGATCTCAAGCCAGGTATTCTGAGCCTTGGGAGCCCAGGGCCTCAGAAGGGGAGAGCCCTGAATCCTGGCATTCTGGTACTTTTGGAATTCTGGAATCCTGGAACCTCAGTTGGGCTGTGTGTGTGTGTGTGTGTGTGTGTGTGTGTGTGTTTTGGAGACAGGATATTATCTGTCACCCGGGCTGGAGTGCAGTGCCACAATCATAGCTCACTGCAGCTTCAGCCTCCTGAGCTCAAATGATCCTCCTGCCTCAGCCTCCCGAATAGCTAGGACTACAGGTGGTGCCACCACACCCAGCTAATTTTTAAATTTTTTGTAGAGAGAAGGTATCACTATAGTGTCCAGGCTGGTCTTGAACTCCTGGGCTCAAGCAATCCTCCTGCCTTGGCCTCCCAAAGTGCTGGGATTACAGATGTGAGCCACCGCACCCAGTTGAACCTCAGTCTTTAGAACCTTGGAATCCTAGATTCATAAAGTGCTTAGCATGGAATTCTAATGCTGTGGAATCTGAGAATTCTAGAATCAGAATCATAGGATTTAAGAATTCTGAATGATAGAATTCAGCTAAAATAGCCACAGAACTTTACACATCTTAGATCTCCTAAGTTTTAGATTCTCAGAACATTATAATTTTGTAACTACAGGGTTGGAGGATGACAGAAACATAGGAGCATCAAATTTGAGAGTCTTAGACGTCTAGAATCATATGAGCTTAATACTGTTGTGACCTAGAATCCTGGGAATTCTAGACTCCCAGAACTTTGAACTATCAAATTCAGAATCCAGCCAGGTGTGGTGGCTCATGCATGTAATTGCAGCACTTTGGGAGGCCAAGGTAGGTGGATCAGTTGAGCCCAGGAGTTTAGGACCAGCCTGGGGAAAATGGTTAAACCCTGTCTCTACAAAAACAAAAACAAAACCCCTAATAATTAGCCAGGTGTGGCAGCATGCATCTGTGCTCCCAGCTACTTGGGACTCTGAGGAGGGAGGATCGCTTGAGCCCAGGACGTTGAGGCTGCAGTGGGCCGTGATTGTGCCACTGCACTCCAACCTGGGTAACAGAGCAAGACCTTGTCTCAAATAGTAATAATAATTCTAGAACCTCAGAAGTGTAGTGTAAACTTAGAAACATCCAACTCAAGAATTTATTGGAACAATCGAATTCTAGAATCTTAGAAGCCTAGAGCTAAAGAAGCATAGAACATCAAATTCTAGAATCTTAGATATATAGAATCCTAGAGCCTTGGAATCTGCAGATTCTGAAGTAGAGAAGTCTAGAATTGTAGAACTGTTGAACTGTCAAATTTTAGAGCTGACATATATAAAATCCTAAAATCTTGGACATTAAAGGGTCTTACAAGTGTCGAATCATAGATGGCTAGATGTCTAGAAACTCGGACGTCACACTCTGAAGCCCTAGAAATACAGAATCAGGCCGGGGCAGTGGCTCACACCTATAATCCAGCACTTTGGGAGGCTGAGGTGTGTGGATTGCTTGAGCCCCGGAATTCAAAATCAGCTTGTGCAACATGGAAAGACCCAGTCTCTACAAAAAAATACGAAAGATTAGCTGGGCGTGGTAATGCGTGCCTGTGGTTTCAGCTACTCGGGAGGCTGAGGTGGGAGGATCGCTTGAGCCTGGGCGGCAGAGATGGAAAGCAGCCAAGATTGTGCCATTGCATTCTCTAGTCTGAGGGACAGAGCCAGACTGTTTCTCAAAAAAACAAAGAAATATAGAATCACAGAACCTTCATAAAATAGGTTTTTAATAAACTCTAGAATGTTTGATGTGTAGTGTCCCTAGAACCATAGAAATGTTGAGCTCTATAGCAATGGTTCTCAACCAGGGACAGTTTTGCTCCTAGGGAGTGTCTGGCAAGGGTTGGCGATGGTTTTGTTTGTGATACTGGGATAGTGCTACTGGTATCCAGTATGTAGAGGTCAGAGAGGAAGTTAAACATCCTACAGTACACAGAGCAAGTACCCTAAAACAAGCAAGTATCCTGGGTACTGTGTTAGTGGTGTAAGGGCTGAGGAACCCAGCTCTAGGGTATTCAAAGTCTACAGTCACAGCACCATTAGAACTAATTACACACATGCATACACACACAATACACAGACACATACACACACATACACACATACATACACACAGATACATACGCACACAGACACACACACATACACAGACACACACACACACAGACACCTACACACACAGACACACAGACATATACAGACACACAGACACACACAGACACATAGGCACAGACACACAGATACACAAACACACAGACACACATACACACAGACACACACACAGACACACACAGAAACACACACAGACACACACACATACACATACACACACACAGACACAAGCCAGGTGCAGTGGCTCACGCCTTTAATCCCAGCACTTTGGGAGGCCGAGGCAGGTGAATCACCTGAGGTCAGGAGTTCGAGACCAACCTAAACAACATGGTGAAACCCCATTTGTACTAAATACAAAAAAATTAGTTGAGCATGGTGGGGCACACCTGCAGTCCCAGCTACTCAGGAGGCTGAGGCAGGAGAATCCCTTGAACCTGGGAGGTGGAGGTTGCAGTAAGCTAAGATTGAGCCATTGCACACCAGCCTGGGCAACAAGGTCAAAACCCTGTCTCAAAATAAATAAGTAAATAAAATAAAGAACCAATTACATTCTGGAATTGGAGTCTAGATTCATGGAAACTTAGCGATAGCACCTTTAGTTGTAGGGTTTGTTTGTTTTTTTAGATGGAGTCATGCTTTGAGGCTGGAGTGCAGTGGCACGATCTTGGATCACTGCAGCCTCTCTCTCCCGGGTTCAAGTGATTCTCCTGCCTCAGCTTCCCGACTAGCTGGGATTACAGGCACCTGCCACCACATCTGGCTAGTTTTTACATTTTTAGTACAGATGAGGTTGTACCATGTAGGCCAAGATGGTCTGGAACTCCTGACCTCAAATGGTCCAATTGCCCCGCCTCCCAAAGTACTGAGATTACAGGCGGGAGCTACCGCCCCCAGCAGCCGTCGGGATTTTGAGTCCAGCCCTCCCACTTAATCAAGACCCCCGCCATAGTTGGGGAAACTGTGTCTCAGCATGGGAAAATGACCAGGAGCCAGTGTTCTGACCAAGGCAGCAAGAGTAGACTGTTTTGAGCCTGGGGCTTAGGGGTCAAAGTTCAGGCCTTCCAGGTAACCTGTCTTCCCCTTCTCACCCATCCCATTGTTCCCCATCCTGCCAGACTGCAAGTTTAACTGTCACAAACGCTGCGCCACCCGTGTCCCTAATGACTGCCTGGGGGAGGCCCTCATCAATGGAGGTGAGAGGCTGGTGGGGGTGCTGGGGAGGAAAGGGGGAGGGGCAGGACTGGGTGGAGGCCCCCCTGATGCCTCCATCCCCGCAGATGTGCCAATGGAGGAGGCCACGGATTTCAGCGAGGCTGACAAGGGCACCCTCATGGATGAGTCGGAGGACGCTGGTGTGATTCCAGGCTCCCACTCGGAGAATGCGCTCCACGCCAGTGAGGAGGAGGAAGGCGAGGGAGGCAAGGCCCAGAGGTACACCCAGAACCCTCCAAGAGACCCTGGGGAAGACCGTCCTGCACAGCGAACCTCAATTTACTTTTTTCTATAATGGGCTGGCATCACCTCATATTTGTAAATTTTCCCAGTTTCTGAGGCAAACCTCTTAAAGTGCTAAACCTTTTTTTAAATAATTTTTTTTTTTTTTGAGACACGGTCTCGCTCTGTCACCCAGCCTGGAGAGCAATGGTGCAATCTTGACTTCCTCCAGCCTTGACCTCCTGGGCTCAAGTGATCCTGCCACTTAGCCTCCCAAGCAGCTGGGACGACAGGCTCATGCCACGCACACCCAGCTAATTTTTGTATTTTCGTAGAGACAGGGACTACCCTGTGTTGCCTAGGATGGTCTCAAACTCCTGACTCCTGAGCTCCAGATTGCAGTGACACAATCTCAGTTCATTGCAAGCTCTGCTTCCCAGGTTCAAGCAATTCTCCTGCTTCAGACTCTTGAGTAGCTGGGACTACAGGCGCCTACCACCACACCTGGCTAATTTTTTTTTTTTTTTTTTTAAGATGGGGTTTCTCCATGATGGCCAGGCTGGTCTCGAACTCCTGACCTCAGGTGATCCACCCACCTCGGCCTCCCAAAGTGCTAGGATTACAGGCGTGAGCCACCGCGCCCAGCCTCCTGGCTAATTTTTTGTATGTGTGTTTTTAGTAGAGATGTGGTTCCACCTTTTTGGCCCGCCGGGCCCCCACCCCCCACCTTAGGGGGTTCCCCCCCCCCCCCCGCCCCCCGCACCTGCCTTGGCCTCCCAAAGTGCTGGGATTACAGGCATGAGCCACCACACCTGGCCTATATTATTATTATTATTTTTAGTTTTTTAGAGATAGGGGTATTGCTATGTTGCCCAGGGTGGTCTTGAACTCCTGCACTCAAGCAATCCTCCCACCTCAGCCTCCCAAAGTGCTGGGATTACAGGTGTGCACCACCATGCCCCCAGCCTACAGATTTTTAAACTATACACAGAGTTCATACTTATTCAGCTTCACTGGAATGTGTGCTCAGGTGCGTGAGGGCAAGGATATTTTCTGCCCTCCCAGGTGCCTAGGACAGGGCTGGCTCAGATCAGGTGCTTCCTACTTAGGTGTGGCGTGAATGTTTATTGAAAAAGCTGGGAAGCAGCGTGGTTCACGCAGACGTTGGAGGCTGAGAGCCCAGATCCCAGCTCTACTGCTTCACTTGCTAGGTACTTCCCTGGTTGCCCTGGTTTCCTCCTGGGGTGATGAGGTACCTACCCTGCAGGGTGACAAAGTTGGTGTAGGGGTAAGGGGGCACCCTCACAGGTGCATCAGAAAATATTAATGAGCACCTGCTGTGTTCTGACTCCAAGCTCACAGCTATGAACAAAAGAGGTAAGTCTGCCCTCCTGGAGTTGACGGTCTTAGTGGGGAGACAGCTGATAAATGCATCCATAGCATCAGATATTGGTAATGGTGATAAAAATAAAACAAGAGGAGATGGAGAATGGGAGATGTGCTTTCTTAGGATCATCCAAGGAGACCTCGCTGAGGAAGTGGCAGCTGAAGGGAGTGGAGGGTAGGAGCCTTGTGGGGCTCTGCGGGAAGAGGCTTCCTGGCAGAGGCAACAGTAAATGCAAAGGCCCTGGGGAAGAGCCACACGCGTTTTTGTTTTTGTGTTTTAGACGGGGAGTCTTGCTCTGTCACCAGGCTGGAGTGCAGTGGTGCTGTCTTGGCTTACTGCAACTTCTGCCTCCTGGTTCAAGCAGTTCTCCTGCCTTAGGCTCCGGAGTTGCTGGGACTACAGGCGCGCACCACCACGCCCAACTAATTTTTGCATTTTTTGTAGATACAGGGTTTCACCATGTTGACCGGGATGGTCTCGATCTCTTGACCTTGTGATCCGCCTGCCTCAGCCTCCCAAAGTGCTGGGATTACAGGCGTGAGCCACTGCACTCGGCCTAGAGCGAGAATCTTAAAAGCAGAGAAACAAAAAACTCCCGGGGACGTGGCGGGTGGGAGCAGGGGGTATTGGCAAAACAAAAAAACTTCAACTCCCTAGCTTCCCAGAGATGTCCCCTGCGGCCCCAAGCAGCATGGTCATTTTCTGCATGTGACTTGTCACCCCTTCTTCTTCCTCCGCAGCTCCCTGGGGTACATCCCCCTAATGAGGGTGGTGCAATCGGTGCGACACACGACACGGAAATCCAGCACCACGCTGCGGGAGGGCTGGGTGGTTCATTACAGCAACAAGGACACGCTGGTGAGTGGCTGGGGCAGGGCCAGGTGCAGAGAGGAGCGAAGGTTGGAAGAGGGACGGGTCAGCTTGAGTGGGCGGGGCTAGGTGGGTGGGGCTGGAGCTGGGCGTGGGCGGGGCCATGCTGGAGGCGGGGCTAGAATTAGGAGTGTGGGTTTTAAGGGTGGGACGAGGGACAGGAGTTAGGGAAGACGCGGGGCTAAAGGCAAGGTGCGGCGTGGGGGGCGGCGGGGAGAGCTAGAGTTTGGGGGGGAGCTTGGCTGGAGGAAGAGGGCTAAGTGGGGGCGAGGCTGGGGTTAGGGTCTGGGGGATGGGCTAGGGTTAAAGCTAGGGGCGGGGCTAGGGTTGGGGCGTGTAGGCGGGGTGGGGTTACGTTGTGGGGTAGGTGCTAGGCTTAGGCGTGCACGTGGTGCTCCAGACACCTGGAGCCCCAAACAGCATCACCGGACAGGGACTGGGGAGGAAAGTCTGGCGGTTCACCTGACCCTTCAAACATCTCTGCAGAGAAAGCGGCACTATTGGCGCCTGGACTGCAAGTGCATCACCCTCTTCCAGAACAACACGACCAACAGATACTATAAGGTGAGTCCCCGGGACCTCAGCTCCCCCGGGCTTCCCTCTGTGCCGACAAACTTCTCCACACCTCCTCTTACCCCCTACCCCCAGTTACTCCAGACAGATCCTGCAAATCACGTCCTCCCTGCCTCAGCTCATCAGCAAGTGCTGCTCATCTGATTCTGGCCCCACCACTTTCCAGCGCGGGGCTGCGGTGGGTGGTGGGGAAGGGAGGGAAGGGAATCCGGGCCGGTTCCCTTATTTCTTGGTGCCTCAGGTTTCTTACCTGTAAAATGCCTCAAATGCTAATACCTCAGGGCTGGTGCAGGAATTCAAAGAGCCAATCCACTAAAGCAATCAGCTTAGGGCGTGGTATATGTTAAGCTCCCGGTAATTCTAAGGCTGTTCTCACTATTCCTTTATAATTAATGTATTGCATGATGTGTGCCTATTCATCACTGTCTCCCGTGCCCACACCGTGTCCCAGCCACTGTCTTCCACCTGGATGGTTGCAGCCTTCTCCTTGTAGGGTCCTTGCTTCTGATCTCGAAGCCTCTGTCATTTCCCCCATAGCAGCAGGGGGAGTCTTTATTAAAAGCATTAAGGCCTGGCATGGTGGCTCATGCCTGTAATGCCAGCACTTTGGGAGGCCGAGGAGGGCAGATGACCTGAGGTCGACAGTTCGAGACCAACCTGAATAACATGGAGAAACCCCATCTTTACTAAAAATACAAAAATTAGCCGTGCGTGGTGGCGAAAAGCCTGTAATCCCAGCTACTCAGGAGGCTGAGGCAGGAGAATCTCTTGAACCCAGAAGGCAGAGGTTGCATTGAGCCGATATTGTGCCATTGCACTCCAGCCTGGGCAACAAGAGGGAGAATCTATCTCAAAAAAATAAGGAAAGACAAGAAATCGTCAAAACCCTCCAGTGGCTCCCATTGTTCTTAGAGTAATAAAACCCGGACTCCAGCTGTTACCTGCCCTGGAGTGTCTTCCTTGGATTTTCCATAGCTGGTTTCTTCTCATCTTCCCATTTTGTTCAGATAACACCATCTAAAATGCTGTGCTTGGCCAGGCACAGTGGCTCCTGCCTGTAGTCCCAGCACTTTGGGAGGCCGAGGCGGTGGGGGTGGGAGGGTGTCACTGGAGGTCAGGAGTTTGAAACCAGCCTGGCCAACATGGTGAAACCCCATCTCTACTAAAAATACAAAAATTAGGCTGCGCGCGGTGGCTCCCGCCTGTAATCCCAGCACTTTGGGAGGCCAAGGCGGGGATCACTTGAGGTCAGGAGTTTGAAACCAGCTTGGCCAACATGGTGAAACCCCGTCTATACTAAAAATACAAAAATTAGCTAGCTGTGGTGGCGGGTGCCTGTAATCCCAGCTACTTGGGAGGCGAGGCAGGAGAATAGCCTGAACCTGGGAGGTGGAGGGTGCAGTGAGCTGAAATTGTGCCACTGCACTGTAGCCTGGGCAACAGAGCAAGACTGTCTCAAAAAGTAAAATAAATAAAATGCTGTCCTCACCCCCCATGTGTCCATGTCACCACCTGGTTTTATGGGCTACCTAAGTCATTCATCCTCCCTCCCCCCTTCCTCCTTGGACACGTTTCCTACCCCATGGTCCCTGCGCCTTCTGTCCCACCTGGGTCCCCTCAGCCTCCTTCCTGCTTCACTGTCTCCATCTCATTCTGTTCCATCTGCCCTCTGCACACAAACAGATGATGCTCAGAAGCCTACAGTGGCTCCCTAGGGCCCTTGGACAAAGCCCAGACTCCTCCCCGTGACCTGTGAAGCCCTGCGTGGCCTCATTTCCTTCATTTAGTATCAAACGTTTATTTTGCAATAGGATCTTGCTCTCTCCCAGGTGCAGTGGCATGATCATGGCTTACTGCAACCTCTGGCTCCCCAGCTCAAATGATTCTCCCACCTCCCTAGCAGCTGGGATTATAGGCTCTCACCAGCGTGCCTGGCTAATTTTTGCATTTTTTGTAGAGATGGGGGTCTCGCTGTGTTGCCCTGGCTGGTCTCAAACTCCTGGGCTCCAGCAGTCTGCCTGCCTTGGCCTCCCAAAGAGCTGAGATTACAGGCTTGTGGCACCTTGCCTAATTTTTAAATATTTTATAGAGCCAAGGTCTCACTATGTTGCCCAGGCTGGTCTTTTTTTTTTTTTTTCTTTCTTTAGGTCTGGCCCTTTCTTCCCAGATACAATGTCAAATGCAAAATCTTCTGTCACATTACCTTTTATATTTTGAAATATGGAAGAATATTTTTTTCTCTCTTAAGGCATTTATTTATTACAGCATTCTCTGATTTCACAGTAGCTTAAAATTCAATTCAGTCTTGATATTTCTCCACTGAGGCCGCTGCCTCAGCATACGACATAACCCCTCCTCCAACACTCAGTGTGACCCGAATCTGAACGGCGAGCCCCAGGGTCAGCCTCTTTGCTTCCCAGGTGAACCAACTAGATGTTGAGGCTGCGTGCTACAAGGTGAGAGCTCCTAACTCAAACTTCCTGGAGAAGAAGGGAAACGTCTGCAAAGTGCACTTCAGAACAAGTACTTTTTGCTTATGAAAAGAAACCAGTGAGGCCTCTAAGGATAACGAAAGGGAGTATTTTACAGCGAAGCCCATGATTCGGAGTGAGGAGTCCGGGTGTTGCTCTGCTGCTCCAGGCTGCTCACCCTCTTCTTGCTCCTCCTGTTGGCCCCCTTCCTCAGGCATCACATAAGCCTCCATCTGTGGCATACGGAATGGCTACAGTCCTCCGCAATACCGGGTTGTTTTCCTCCTCATCCTCCTGGCAAATCAATTCAATGTTCCGTAGCTTTCCGAAGTAGAAATCCCTGTCTTTCTCCAAGTCTTTTTTTTTTTTTTTTTTTTTTTTTTTTTTTTTTTTTTTTTTTTTTTTTTTTTTTTTTTTTGAGACGGAGTTTCGCTCTTGTTGCCCAGGCTGGAGTGCAATGGCGCGATCTCGGCTCACCGCAACCTCCGTCTCCTGGGTTCAGGCAATTCTCCTGCCTCAGCCTCCTGAGTAGCTGGGATTACAGGCACGCGCCACCATGCCCAGCTGATTTTTTGTATTTTTAGTAGAGACGGGGTTTCACCATGTTGACCAGGATGGTCTCGATCACTTGACCTCGTGATCCACCCGCCTCGGCCTCCCAAAGTGCTGGGATTACAGGCTTGAGCCACCGCGCCCGGCCTTTCTCCAAGTCTTTAACAGTAAGTTTCAATACGTTGACCAGCTGCTTCAACTCGGCTGCCCCGTCATCACCAGGGTTCTTGCGTAGCGCGCCAGGGCCGGCCTGAGGAACCGCAGCAGCTCTGTGCTGAGACGGGCCTCTGGGAGCTGCACTGCCAGAGCTGAGAGCAACGAGGGAGGGAGCCGCTGCCGTTCCTTGACCTCGTCTGGCAGCCACAGGGTCATAGTCTTTTCCGTCATAGTTTGCGGCAGAAAACTCCTTGAATCACTGAACGAATTCACAGTTGTCCTGAAACATTCCTTTTACTAATTTGTCCATCGGAATTATTTTGTCAACACCCATCCTCTTAAAACCTGCTTGTATTTTGAAGTTCTGGATATACTCGTGTTCTAGCTTAGCTTGGAATTTCACTTTCTTCAAGGCAATGGAGCCAGGGAACAGCAAGTCCATAAACACAATAGGCAGCCCCTGAGCACAGCTGTGTCAGATTCAACTGCAGAGGCTCATTGAGCCAGGCCCGCATGCCACGTGGACTTAGATCATCACCGGTCACTGACGTTGAGTACACGTTCACCGCCAACTTCGGCTCCCGGTGGAACCGCGCCCGCTGCCCACAGCCGGCTCTGGTTCCATCTTCGTCTCATTCCCCAGGCTGGTCTTGGACTCCTGGGCCATCTGCCCACCTCGGCCTCCCAAAGTGCTGGGAGTACAGGCATGAGCCACCGTGTCCAGCCATCAAACGTTTTCCAAGCTCTTACTGTGTCCAGGCGCCACCCCACGTGATGGGGATGCAGCTTAGCCTGGAGCACAGCCTTTCCTCAGGGCCTTTGCACATGCTGTGGTGCACCCACTCCTTGCCAGCTGGCCTCTTCTTACCTTTCTGGTCTCTGCTTCGATATCACTTCTGCCAGTAATTATTATTACTATTATTATTTCTGAGATGGAATCTCGCTCTGTCGCCCAGGCTGGAGTGCAGTGGCACAATCTCGGCTCATTGCAACTACCGTCTCACAGGTGCAGGTGATTCCCCCACCTCAGCCTCCCAAATAGCTGGGATTACAGGCACGCACCACCATGCCCGGCTAATTTTTGTATTTTCAGTAGAATTGCATGGTCTGCCTGGCATCCTCACCTGTGCTGGTTCCATGTCCTGCAGGAAATTCCACTGTCAGAAATCCTTACGGTGGAGCCTGCCCAGAACTTCAGCCTTGTGCCACCGGGCACCAACCCACACTGCTTTGAGATCATCACTGCCAATGCCACCTACTTCGTGGGCGAGATGCCTGGCGGGGCTCCGGGTGGGCCAAGTGGGCAGGGGGCCGAGGCTGCCCGGGGCTGGGAGACAGCCATCCGCCAGGCCTTGATGCCCGTCATCCTTCAGGATGCACCCAGCGCCCCAGGCCACGCACCCCACAGTAAGTCCCCCCACTTCAGGTCCTTGAGAGAATGGGTCTAGGTGGGCGGGCAGGATTCTGGGGAGTGGAATGGCCAAAGACGGAGGTGGGCTATGGTGGGGTTGAGAATGTGGCTTCTGGACTCAGCAGGCCTGGGTTCAAACTCGTTAATCACACCTGTTAATCCCAGCACTTTGGGAGGCCAAGGCGGGAGGATCACTTGAGGCCAGGAGTTCAAGACCAGCCTGGGCAACATAGCGAGATTCCATCTCTACAAAAAATAAAAACAATTAGCCAGGTGTGGTAGCGCACACCCGTGGTTCTAGGTACTTGGGAGGCTGAGGCAGGAGAATTGCTTGAGCCTGGGAGGTTGAGGGCCTGTAGTGAGTCGTGATCACACCACTGCACTCCAGTCCGGGTGACAGAGCAAGACGCCATCTCCAAAAAAGAGAAAACAACCAAAGTCCACAAAAAAATCTCTGCTAAGCTCCTGGCCTAATATGTGGCCTTGGGCAAGTCACTTCCCCTCTGTGTGAGATGGTGCTGGGGACAGCAGTGGCCAGCACAGCCCAACACCTGCCCTCATGGGGCTTAGAGTTCAGTAGGGCAGAATACCCATCTTCAGAGTGATGGTCCAGGGTGGGCAGGGTTGGGACAAGGGAGCCAGGGAGCTGGAGGAGCCCAGAGGGTTACCTAATGGGTTAGGTATCTAGGAGGGCTTCCTCGAGGAGGTGACATCTGAACTGAGACCTGGAGGCGGAGGCGGGGTGAGATGTGGAAAAGCAAATGGGAGCTCATTTTAGGCAGAGGCAAAAAGTGGTGAGAGTACCAGGTTCCCACCCTCTGGAGCTTATAATCCAGCATGGGCGACAGACGTTGATCATTAATCCACACAAGCAACGAGTGCGATGCAGAACATTTGTGAGTGTAATCCGACTTGGTCCTAGGAGTGACGTTTGAGCTGACACTGGAGGATTTAGCTAAGTGTAGGATGAAGGAAAGAGTACTCCTGGCAGAGGAAACAGCATCGACAAAGACCAGGAGGGAGAAGAGAGCCTGCCGTATGTGAGGCCCAGGAGGAAGGCCAGTATGTCGGGAATAGCATGTTAGGGATTGAAGTCACTGGCAGATGAGGCTCTCAGCCATGCCTTTTGGGCCCTTTAAGGGGCTCAGGTTTCTTCCTGAGGGCACTGGGGAGCAGAGGAGGGACAGCATCAGTCTTTTGTCTCTGTAAGATCCCTCTGGCTTCTCTGTGGAAGTGAATAGGAGGGGGCAGGATTGGGGCAAGAGACCAGGGAAAGGGCTGTGGGGTGAGGACCCAGGGTTGGGGGGCGAGCAGGGGCCTAGACCAGGCTGTGGACAGGTGGAAGGGACAGATGTTCAAAGGGCAGAAGGCTCAGGACTACAGAAGTGTCTGGCTCTGGTTGGGTTTGTCGGGGGCGAGCTCAGGGGAAGACGCAGGAGTCAGTCTGCACTTTCCCTCCAAGACTGTGTCCTTCTCTGTATAAAGGGGTCAGTCTGCCTCCCCTGGTGCTGAAGTCCTGGGGTAAAATGCTCAGCAAAATCGCCCGTGACTTCAGCCGCTCAGCACGCCTCATTTACTCCCCGAGCGGCCCTGTGAAGGAGGTCCTTTTATTATTCCCATTTTCTAGATGAGGAAACCAAGGTTCACAGTGACAAGTCACCAGCCTGAAGCTGCACATTGTATTGCACACTAGATTCAAACCTGGGTGGGCCTGACTCCCGAGTCTGCCTTTGCTGGTATGGGTAGGGATAACCCTGAGCCCAGAGTCGTCTCACCTCTGTCTCCCCTCTGTCTCTCCCTCTCCCCAGGACAAGCTTCTCTGAGCATCTCTGTGTCCAACAGTCAGATCCAAGAGAATGTGGTGAGACTCCTGCCCACCCCTGATGCCCTCCCCTCGCACACTCTCTCCCCAGCTCTCCCATCCCCTCGACTCCCCCTCCCTCATTTCCATTCGCATGCCTGACCTGCCCTGTCTTCACCCTGCAGGACATTGCCACCGTCTACCAGATCTTCCCTGACGAAGTGCTGGGCTCAGGGCAGTTTGGAGTGGTGTATGGAGGTGAGGACACTTCAGAGCTAACCCAGAGGGGGCCTGGGTCTCGGGGAAGCTGTTCTGGCTCCAATCGTTTCTTTCTGGCTCCAACCCTTCCTTTCTGATTGGTCACATGCTCACCTCCTATGTTGATTGTCTTAGAAAGCTAGATCCTGGGTGGACTGGTTGCAGGTTCTTCTTTTTTCTTGTTATTAATAGGAAGGGTAAATTCGGCACTCTGCTCACAGAGGTAGATTTTGATTGAATAGGGAAGGTAGATTCTGCACTCTGATTGGCCACAGAAGTAGAACCTAGATTCTGATTGGATAGGAGGGTAGATTCTGCATTCTGGGGTTGGCCACAGGCTAGATCCTAGAGTTTGATAGGACATGGAGGGAAAATTCTACACTCTTGGAAGTGTAGAATTTGGGTGGAGATTATCCTGTGCCTGGGGTCCTCACACATCTGTCTCTCCCCTGTCCCCGGGACTCTTATGGGCCACACAAAACTCGATGCTGGATTCCGACTGGCTGTAAATCCAGTTCCCCATGTTACAGAGTCTCCTCTTTGGAGCTTTTTTTTTTTTTCTTTCCTTCTTTCTGCCTTTACTCCCAAGGTGCACCTCTCATGGCTTTTACACATGTCTCCTGGGGCCTTCCAGCTCTGCTCAACTCTGGCTGTCTCCATGGTGGGGGGCAGAGGTCAGCAGAGGTGGGGATGCTCCTGCCACGACTGGGTGGTCTTGCTGTCTCATCTCTCATCTCTCCTACTCCCTGCCCAGGAAAGCACCGGAAGACAGGCCGGGACGTGGCAGTTAAGGTCATTGACAAACTGCGCTTCCCCACCAAGCAGGAGAGCCAGCTCCGGAACGAGGTGGCCATTCTGCAGGTGACCACCAGGGCGCCTTCCCTTTCTCCTCCCTCCTTTCAGGGGCCAGCGGACCCACGGTAGGGGTGGTCAGGGAAGGCTTCCTGGAGAAGGGCATATGCATGTTGAGACGGAAGGGGAGGAGAAGGTGTTCATAGCGGAAGGACCACCCTGTACAAAGGCCTGGTGAAAGGGAGCATGAGGTTTTCTAGGAAGGAGGTACTGGGAGATGAGGCCAGGGACGAGGGTGGAGCCAGACCCTGTGGACTTTCTCCTGAGGGCACTGGGGAGCCATAGAAGGCTTTTGAGCAAGGGAGGGGCAGGATCAGGTGTGTACTTTAGGAAGATCCCTTGACTGCCACCTGGAGGGTGGGTGTGGATCTGGGTGGGAGAGAGGGGTTAGGCCAGGACAGGATTGGGGGCATGGAAGTGGAGGGGGTACGGATTTAAAAGATACAGTCATGCAGAGCTCTCCCCACTTACCTGAGCTCCCCCTCCTCCCTCTGAAACCCTGGGCTTCCACCAGAATTTCAGGATGTAAAGATCCTCTGGGCTGGGCATGGTGGCTCACGCCTGTAATCACAGCACTTTGGGAGGCTGAGGTGGGAGGATCATTTGAGGCCAGAAGTTTGAGACCAGCCTGGCCAACACAGCAAAACCCCATTTCTATATATATTTTTTCTTTTTTTTTTCTTGAGACAGACTCTCACTCTGTCGCCTAGGCTGGAGTGCAGTGGCACAATCTTGGCTCACTTCAACCTCTGCCTCCCAGGTTCAAGCAGTTCTCCTGCCTCAGCCTCATGAGTAGCTGGGATTATAGGCACGCACCACCTCGCCCAGCTGAGTTTTGTATTTTTATTAGAGACTGGGTTTCACCATCTTGGCCAGGCTGGTCTTGAACTCCTGACTTCAGGTGATCTACCTGCCTCGAACTCCCAATGTGCTGGGATGACAGGCGTGAGACACCGCGCCTAGCCCCCATCTCTATATTTAAAAAGGGAACAAACCCTTCTGGGCACCTGGCAGGTGGGGTGGAGGTGGGCCTGTTCTGTCTTGGCCTGTGGGAAGCCTCCTTCCCTCTCCCAGTGCCAACACCCCAGCGACATCGTTCTCCTTGTTTGTCATCCTCCTGCTCCCATACCTGACCGTTTGGGGTCTGAGTCTGTGGACAAACTGGCCCTGACCCTGACCCTGCGCCCCACCCTGCAGAGCCTGCGGCACCCCGGGATCGTGAACCTGGAGTGCATGTTCGAGACGCCTGAGAAAGTATTTGTGGTGATGGAGAAGCTGCATGGGGACATGTTGGAGATGATCCTCTCCAGCGAGAAGGGCCGGCTGCCTGAGCGCCTTACCAAGTTCCTCATCACTCAGGTGCGCGAGGCCTGCCAGCTGCCACCCGCCCCTCCCCATCAGGTGTCAGCTTGGAGAGGCCCTGCATGCCTAGGAGGCCAGGCAGACACTGGCGGGAGTCACAGTAGCAGATGAGAGAAACCATAATCAAAAACACAAGCTGGGCACGGTGGCATGTGCCTGTGGTCCCAGCTACTCTGGAGGCTGAGGCAGGAGGATCATTTGATCCCAGGAGTTCTGTGCTGAGCAGACATCCTCATTAAGTTCGGCATCTACATGGTGACCTCCGAGGAGCCGGGGACCGCCAGGTTGCAAAGCAGCCCAGGATGGAAGCAGAGCAGGTCAAAGCTCTTTAACCTCATCAGTAGTGACAGTGCATCCGTGAAGAGGCACTGTGCTCCAGCCTGGGCAACACAGCAAGACCCTGCCTCTTGAAAAAAAAATAATAATAATAGGGTGACAATAACAATTAAAAATAATAAAGAGTAGGCCAGGTGCGGTAGCTCACGCCTCTAATCCCAGCACTTTGGGAGGCTGAGGCAGGTGGATCATGAGGTCAGGAGTTCGAGACCAGCCTGACCAATGTGGCGAGCTCCTGTCTCTACTAAAAATACAAAAATTAGCAGGGCATGGCGGTGCGCGCCTATAGTCCCAGCTACTCAGGAGGCTGAGGCAGAAGAATTGCTTGAACCCAAGAGGCAGAGGTTGCAGTGAGCCGAGATTGTACCACTGCACTCCAGCCTGGTGATAGAGGGAGACTCTGTCTCAAAAAAATAATTATTATGGGGCCTGATACAGTGTAATTCCATTAATTCCATGCCTGTAATTCCAGCACTTTGGGAAGCTGAGGTGGGGGGATCACTTGAGCCCAGGAATTCAATGCCAGCCTGGGAGACGGAGATCCTCTTTCATTCATAAGTAAATTTTAATACATATATATGTTGTATATTAATATACATATTATATAAAACATAACAATGTTATATATTTATAACCAATATACATACATAATATATATTAATGTGTATGTGTATATTATATATGTATATATTATAGTATATAAATTTACATATATATAAAATGGGTGAGGTTGAGCATGTTTTCATGTTTATTGGCCTATGCTGTATTACCCTTTGCCAATTTGTCAATGGACTGTTATCTTTTTGAATTGTAGGAGCTCTTTGTATATGAAGGATATTAGATTCTTTTTTTTTCTTCCTAGACATGTTCTGCATTTCTGTGTTTTGGTGGGGGACACATTAGATTCTTATCACTTATGTTGTTCATTCATTGTTTTTATCCCAGTGTTTGGCTCTTTTATATTTAGCTTTGATTTACCATAGGGTTTTATTTTTTTGAGATAGGGTCTCATTCTGCCACCCCGGCTGGAGCACAGTGGTGTGATCATAGCTCACTACAGCCCCAAACTCCTAGGCTCAAGCGATTCTCCTATCTCCGCTTCCTGAGTTAGCTGGAAAAAGAGGTGTGAAACACCACATCCAACTAAGTTTGTTTTGTTGTTTTTGAGACAGACTCTCGCTCTCTTGCCCAGGCTGGAGTGCAGTGGCGCAGTCTTGGTTTACTGCAACTTCCACCTCCTGGGTTCAAGCAGTTCTCTGCCTCAGCCTCCTGAGTAGCTAGGATTACAGGCGTCCGCCACCACACTTGGCTAATTTTTTTGTATTTTTAGTAGAGATGGGGTTTCACCATCTTGGCCAGGCTGGTCTTGAACTCCTGACCTCATGATCCACCCACCTCGGCCTCCCAGAGTGCTAGGATTATAGATGTGAGCCACCACGCCCAGCCTAATTTTTTTTTTTTTTAATGTTTCTGTAGAGACAGCGTCTCTCCATGTTGCCCGGGCAGGTCTTGAACTCCTGGGCTCAAGCAGTCCCCTCATCTCAGCCTCCTGAGTTAGCTGGAACCACAGGCATGAGCCATCACACCTGGCTAATTTTTTTTTTAATGTATTTTTAGAGACAGGGTCTTGCCATGTTGCCCAGGCTGGTCTTGAACTCCTGGACTCAAGTGGTCCTCTTGCCGCAGCCTCCCAAATTGCTGGGTTACAGGCGTAAGCCACTGCATCCGGCCTGCCATAGAACTGAACTTGTACGATGTTAAATGTCCCTTTTTGTGGCTTGTGTGTTTCACATCCTTCCTAGAAAGGCCTTCCCCTCTAGTTGGTACCTTGCCGCCTCCTGAGACATCTCCGTCGGTCTCAGAGCCATCGTTGCTGGGCTTCCTTTACCCTGGCCCAGCACCCTTACCCTCTCAGGCAGTGTGTCTGTGTTTGTCAGGCTGGCTTATGGGGTGGGGACAGAAACCCACTGGTGCAGCCTCAGCCAGACTTTATTATTTATTTTTGAGGCAGACTCTTGCTTTGGTGCCCAGGCTGGAGTGCAGTGACACGATTTCGGCTCACTGCACCCTCGACTCCTGAGTTCCAGCCTCCCAAGTAGCTGGGATTACAGGTGTGTGCCACCATGCCTGGCTAATTGTTTTAGTTTGAGTAGAGATGGGGTTTTACCATGTTGCCAAGGCTGGTCTGGAACTCCTAACCTCAAGCGATCCTCCCATCTCAGCCTCCCAAAGTGCTGGGATTACGGGCATGAGCCATCATGCCCAGCCGTATCCACACGTTAGGTGTGGAGAGGAATCACGGTTCTCACAGATGACGGCTTTTAGCAGCTGAAGGGGTTTCTCTTTCTGGCCTTCTGTCTCTTCCTTCCTTTTTGCCTGCTCGCTCTTCGTTGTTTCTCTCTGCAGATTTCTGCTTTCTGGGCTCTTGCCTGCCCACACTCAGGCCCTGTGCCAAGCCCTTTACTTCATGAGCTTATCTAGGCCTCACCACCATCCTGTGAGGTAGGTGTTACTATAACCCCCATTGTAGAGATGAGGAAACTGAGGCTCGGGGAGGTAGTGGTCTCTCCCTCGAGGTCTCAGCCGAGCAGCTGTCCAGCCAAGATTTGAGCCTGGGTCTATCTAGCTTCCAACCCGCCCTCTTTGTTCATGGGAACCGGGAGAAGATATCTGACAAAATCTGGAGATGGGCCGGGCACGGGGGCTCAGGCCTGGAATCCCAGCACTTTGGGAGGCTGAGGCAGGTGGATCGCCTGAGGTCGGGAGTT